CACATGTTGGATCTTTATTGGGTATGATGGATAGCCTGAATACAACAGCATCCTATTGCTTTTGAGTCGAAGAAGTTGTCTCCTGCTGAAAGGAATTACCCTGCTCAGGAAAGGGAATTACTTGGTATATTGCATGCATTACGTTCTTGGCGTTGGTTTGTGGAAGGTCGGCATTATGTGGTGCGCACGGATCATCATCCTCTTCAATATTTCCGCAGTCGTACAAAACCACCACCACCTCGTCTTATTCGATGGATTGCTGAGTTGGAGTTATACGATCCAGAGATTCAATACAAGAGTGGTGTCAGCAATGTTGTGCCGGATTTGTTATCAAGGAGGGATGGCCCCAATTGTCACTCAAATGAAGCATCTTTGGAGCCCGAGTACTTGTATGCACTCAAGTCTATTGAGGAATCAGATTGGCCAAAGTTCTACGTCATGGAGGAGAGTAAATGGCCACAAGCATACAAGGATCTTTTGTTGAAGCATCGTGAAAAGTTTGTGGTACGTGGTGACAAGGTTTTTCGAATAATGCGAAAGGGTGGTTCCACGCATGAAGTTCGATTTGCCTTGTTCGCAAGGAGGGCTGATATCAGGAGTTCCTTATGTCATGGTAACCTAAGCTCTGAAATAAATTACCTCCCTATTTTTCCCTCAGCTGCTTCTTACACAACACAAACAGCTCTCTTTATCTTTTGCTTTGCTTTTACACCCTTGGCTTTATCGCTTCACCGATTCAACGATTCATTGCCGACGTCCATGTAATTCACAACTCCATTAGCGATGGGCCAGCACGCTTAGTACACCCCTATCGCTTTTTGCAACCTTCCCCACTTTTTTGTACCACTGCTACACGTAAGTCAGCACTCCTTTAACCACTTGACGCTTTTATTCACTACCTCACGCTACTTCTTGGTTGCCATTGCTATTGAGCTACTTGACGATGACCACCAGCAAAAAGATGGAGCTGCAACCTTCGCGTTTACGGTGGTAGAATAGACACAGACAAGTAGGCTTCGCAAGAACAATAAAGTGTCAGACACTGTTCAGCACACGATTACGTTCGTCATACCAGCAACGAATTTTCATGACCTGTTTTTATATGACATGAACAAGGAAACGGTGGAAAGGATACGGAAGGGTAGACTAAAAGGATACAGGGAAACGAGTAGGGTAACAAGAAGGTTTGGTATTATTATGGTGCGAGAGGAGCTTTTGGCGATGATGATGATGATGATGATGATGGGGTATTGGATGAGAGGGTATCTTCAAGGAATAAGGATTAGTGTTTGAAATATGGTCTGCCAATATGAGTATCACGGTGTACGATGACGAAGAAGAAATGCTTACATCACCATACGGCCATCCAATGCAATGGTGCACATGTACATGACACATCCCTTCCACCATGAACCTGTGATACATAATAGCCAAAATAAGGAAAATAAAGCGTTAACAATGATCATGGACTATTGTTTGTACCATGAGCGTTATAGAGACATGACATGGTGCATTATGTCAAAGCATGGAATCATCCCTATTTGAAATTGTTCCAACAGGGAACGTTCCTGGTTGAAATGAGTTCAAGTAGGGAACGTTCCTGGTCGACAAGAGTTCAATTAAGGAACGTTCCTGGTTGAGACAATTTCAACATGGAACGTTCCTGGTTGAAACCATTTCAAATAAGGAACGTTCCTGGTTGGGATAATTTCAACATGGAACGTTCCTGGACGAAATGATTTCAAATAAGGAACGTTCCATTTGCATGGTTATCATAAAGAGATACGCGCTAGGTTGAATACAATGGAAAGGGGATGGATGTTGTTTACTTGTTATGCATCTTTATGCACTGTAATGCAAGCGGTGCATGCCATAAGCTGCCTTATGGTCTGATTCCTCACCCATACTTTTGACATCTGCCGTTGGCTGAGTCAAAGCATCGGATTTGGATTAAACGTAAACAATCAGTAGCTCTCGCATGTAGGCCTTTGGCTGATACAGGTATTCGATGGTCGTGGTTCATAACAGGCTACTTCATCATCGACGGCACGTTTGAAACAATCCAACCACAAATCACAAATCAGCAAGTGTTATTCTTTTACCATCGTCTTTGGTCATGAAAACAGGTTTTATTCGATGGGTAATATAGCTACACCAATACCGCTACCGAAACAACCAACATCCATACTATTTCTACACCAAGTACTCTTACCATATCCACCCTTACGTTATCCACATGTGAAAGTGCATCATTACTTGAAGGAATACCGAACGCGATCCTCCATAAACAAGCATACGCAAAAAGCTCGTAATCCAAACTTACCACTCCAACACAAAAGACCACCACTGGAACGTAATCCAATACCTGTGATAACGCCAAAGAAGCTCTAACCAAGTTTATAAGAAGTACTGATTTGTTAATGGATCGTTTGTATGTCATGGCTTGGTTGAGTACCTTGGTGGTGGTGTTGAAGTTGAGAAAGTCCAGTAGCAGCCTCTTCAGCGAGATGGAGCGAAGACAATTGCAGGCGACGATTTGCCAAAGGGGAAGTTGTCACCGTCGTCAAACTTGCAAATGGAAGCTGGTGTTGGTGAAGAGGAGGTAGAAGAGAATACAAGTTGAGGTGAGTGTGCATACTTTTCACTGCTGAAGACGCGTCGCCAAAGAGGAATGCTGGAACGAATGGTTGCAAATGGGGAAGCTGGAATGTGGACATGGGGTACGAATAGGTGTGTGATAGCCGTAAAGAGTAGAAAGCAGTGTTGTTGTCGTTGTGTGGGTTGCGTGTAGTTAGTTGTTGCAATAAAAGAAGAGTGTTTGCTGACTTAGACACTTTGGCTGAGTGAAATAGGGAGGAAAAATCGGAGCTTAGGTTACCATGACGTAAGGAAGTCCCTGATATCATTCAAGAATTTCACACAAGTTTTGGCCATGCTGGAAGGGAAACGGTCTACGATCTCCTCAAGAAGCGTTGGTGGTGGCTTGGTATGAAGGATGATATCCAAGATTGGTTGCGTTCTTGCCCACAGTGTCAGTTGGCTGCTAATGCTGATCGTGGTAAACATCATGCACCTATGCGTCCTTTGGATGTCCCTGCTGTTTTTTCTCGATGGCATCTCGACTTCATTGGCGAGTTACCTACCACCATGAAAGGCAACAAGTGGATTCTGGTTGCTGTTGATTATGCCACCAATTGGACAATCGCTCGTGCTGTTCCTTTTGCTACTGGTCAAGCCATTGCAGACTTTGTATTCGAAGAAATCACTATGCAATTTGGTTGTCCCGAGGAAATCCTCACTGATCGTGGTGCCAATTTCGCATCTCAAGTCCTCAACTTTTACCTTGGTCGTGCAAAGATCCATCACAAGTATACGTCCGCATTCCACCCTCGTACCAATGGCAAGGCAGAACGTACCAATGGCATTCTCAAGCAAATGATACGCAAGTATACGAATGGAGCCATCTATCGCTGGGATGACTTTTTGGAGCCATCAGTGTTTGCATGCAATATTCGCAATCATCGTACAACAAATGTCAGCCCCTACTTTATGGTTTATGGTGTTGAACCACGTTTGCCTGGTGACATCTTACGCCCAATGGTATTGCAAGAACCAACTGAGGAGCCCACAGAAATCTTTGACAATCGCAAACCATCATTGCTACGTTTACATGAAGCCCGTGCCACTGCCGCTGAAAGATTGCGTGCAAATGCTCAACGTGACAAGGCCATTTGGGATGCTATCATGGTTCATCAAGTATTTAACGTTGGCGATCTTGTATTGATGCGACATGAAAACAAGTTGAGTCTCGAGTACAACTGGAAAGGACCCTATACTATCATCAAGCGCAATCTCGATTCGGATACCTATCAGATCAAGGATATGAATAATCAAGTTTATGGCTCTTGGGTCCATACTGATCGATTACGTCCACTTCATGCAAAACGCCCACCCACCACCCCTTGGTATGATCCCGTTGTTGCTCGCAAGATTGATCGCCCGGCTACATCATTGGTCGAGGTCGACCAACATTCTGGGAGGGAGGTAAGGTCGCAGCAACATACCTGATCTTCTTGATCGGTATTATCTTTATCGTTATTTCTTTTATGCTGCGCCCATCATCTTTACTTCGCCACATCCATATTACTTAGCCCCATATTCATACTTAGCCCCATCATGCAATTATAAATAGTGGACCTGATCATAGAATAAATCATCATCTTACGTTCTCTTTATTCTCTTTGTATTTGCCTGTGTGGCTATCTTATCCTTCGTGGTTATTATCCTTCGTGGTCTATTATCTATCCTTCGTGGTCTTATTCTATTCTTCGTGGACGTCGTCTACATCTCCTGTGTCGCAGCAACATCTTGGATCTTCTTGATCGGCATTATTCTTTTGTACAAAGCCATCATCTCATTACTTTCATGCTGCGCCCAACATCTTTACTTCGCCACACCATCATGCTTAGCCCTCCCACAATATACTTAGCCTCATCCCAACAATTATAAATAGTGGACCATCTTATAGAATAAATCATCATCTTACGTTCTCTTTACTTTATTGTCTATTTGCCTGTGTGGCACTATTCTCCTTCGTGGTTCTATTCCTGTGTGGTCTTATTCCTTCGTGGTCTTATTCCTGTGTGGTCTATCTATCCTTCGTGGTCATTATCTCCTTCGTGGAAGTCGTCTATTATCCTGTGTGGATCCAAAAAGAAAGACGACACCTGTGTAGATCCAAAAAGAAAAACGACAAGACGTACACTGTTTGCAAGGTAAAAAGAATCAACCTCCGTATTCGAACCCTTGACCACACCCTTGTTAGACTAGTACCCTGACCACTGTTCCATCAACTGAACAACTGGCTTTGTCGTGTTCGTACTTGCTAATCCCTGATTGTCTTGCTTATAATAGTTCAGCAATGGCGACAATGGCAACGTTCAGGAGGAATGGAGAAAGAGATGCTATACGAGGGTGGCAACGGATACTCTGTTGACAAGGCAAGTAAGACCCTTGAAAGGTTTATGGCAAAGGGATAGGTTGGCATTCCTATCTCGGCGACCTTCTTACAATGAACAATAGCAATCTTGATCGGGAAAAGCTTCGGGCACCACAATTCCGCTCTCGGGCACCACAACATTCCACGTGATTTTGGGTTGCACGTGACCCCTTGGGCACCACATTGCCTATGCTGATCCCACTCGGGCACCACATCCATTAGAATCATTTAATGCTTGTATGTATGATACTAGCCATTCACAAACACTTATATTGGGGCTATCATGTTAATAGGAAACGTTAATAGGAAATGTTCATATTTATTGTTGTTTGGTAATATTGTTTGCATACGAAGTGTTGTAGCTTGATTTGGTGATGACTTCGGTTGATGTCGATGTATGTTGCATAAAAAACATTGAAGGGCTTAATGGCATAAATATACTAGGGCTCGATAATAATAGTTGCAGCATGTATCTCTTCTTCTGTAAGCTTAGGTTTTGAAGGCTCTCGAAGGCCTTCATACATGATGACTTTGCTTGAAACAAGCTGCTGCCAAATCATGCTACTTGCAGATGCATAACGTTTCCATCCATGAGCTATCTTTGGAACAGGCGATCCAGGTTTAAGGTTGACACTAACAAAGTGAGAGCGAGAGCCAAGAAGTGCAATTGCAATGCCAGGATTACGGTTGAGGGGACATGCGTCTGGCAAGAAAGTGAAGCATTCATGTGGGGAAAAATAGTACAAGGGTCGTTCAAATGCATTAGCAAGTACATAACCTGCCAAAGGCATCATCATCCATTTCGATGTATCTTCTACGCACGAGCCATTAAACCAATGTAGGGATGTCGCCAATTCATCATAATCGGATTCAAGGCCAAAGAGCTTGCGATAGTGATCGGGACGGGATTGTAGTTCATCCAAACAACGACGACGGATAAATGGCCATTCTTCTTCATTCATCTCTAAGCCAACAGCATATGCTCGGAATCCACAGTTACCATCAGCACGAACATTCCTCATTGAAGATATCCAATCAACCATGAAATATGGTATATCCTCTGTTCTAATACTGGCAGCAACGAGGGAGTCGTTAGCTCTTTCTGCTGCTTGCTTCCTAATACATACATACTTAGTCAAAAATGCAAGGTACATATTATGGGATCTTTTCGTACACTTCCTGCTTCAAATTAAACACCACTCGGATTTTCTTAGGAGGCTGTTCATGTGGTGTACTTTCTGATGCTGGCCGTTTCCCCTCGTTTTCATCATCTTTGGGACACTCATCTCCATGATCACTCACACTTGATTTCTCTCGCTCCTGTGCCTTGGAATCAGCTGGTACCGGTAAGCGTTGGGATCCCTTGGGGCGCCCACGATGCTTCATTTTTTGAGGAGGATTGAGATCTTCAAGTGCGGTGGTAGGAGCATCTAAGATACTTTGCAATCTTTCAAGAATCCTACGTCTCTCTTGATAATCCCTCGCCTTGTTAATCTTATCTTGCAATCGATACAAGATAGCCAGAGAGTTGTTATCAGTGGCAATGTTGACATCCGCATTGCTGTTACTTGTAGTACATGCATCCTCATCTTTTTCATTCTTGCCATTTGCAATCTGGAGGTCTTTTTTCTTCATGTCAATATGTTACACGATCAAATTCACAGCTTAAAAACAAACCTGCAGTATGCTTATCCAAGCATAAATGCCATCTGAGATGTACAAGCGATATTGGGATAGGCTCGGTCGTTGGCAGAATATGATAGCATGGTATTCCAAAATTCACACGGATCTTGCAATTACATGCCAATGGCTGGGAATCGCTTTCACTTGGTTCGATAGGTTTATCCACCTTATCCTTCTTGCCCACCTTTACAAGCTCTTTCTTGATCTTATCGACGGCATATTGCGATACCTTCCCAATCAAATGCTGTAGCTTCTCTTTTACATGCTCTGGCATGAAGTGATCATGGGCCATTTTGTTTTTCTCGATGGCAATGCTTTCGTTCTCATTCTAGGTAAAGTCGTGTTAATCATTGTGATGTTTGGTAATAGAAAATGGATAACACTGAAAAGTACGTTGAGACTGAAAGATCCTTCTTCTTTATTCTTATCGCTCTATCCTTATTTATAGTTTTACGAGATCTTTGGTATGACTAATCTTCAAGAAGGATCCATGACAAGAACCAATGGTTATATGACAGCTACGCTAGTCGGATGTTTCACTGGATTCGAGGTGGTTCCTTTAGTTACTTAATCGGTTTCAATCACTTCTAGGTCATTCTCATGTATTCCTTAAGGGAAAACATTCATCCTTTTATTATTCAATATCCATAATATCACAATCATGTTCAATATCATAATAGCTCATAGTTTGCTTATGATTTTATTGTACCTGTAGCCTGATAAAGCGATCAATCTCCTTGATGCCATTGACGAGCGTGCCTGAGGCGGTAAGAAACTTCTTGATGGTTGCATGAGCACCTTCAACACGGTTGGTAGTCGTACATCCAAGATGGAAAAAGTGACATGTGTGCTTGCCAACCCAAAGCTCTTCCACTTCAAGCATTCTATGGATGAACAATTTAACCTTAATCTCATAGTTGTTCTTTCGATAAAGTTCTCTAGCGCTTACCTATCCAAGTACTTAACGATTTCAGTCGACTTGCTACTGGTATTGGCAACTTCCAAGAAATCAGATTTGGCTTTTTGGTATGATGATTCATTGTCGGAGCGGATGAGACCATCAACAGCTTTCAGTAATGCCTTATGCTTTTCAACATCGCCATCAAATCCTTTAAGGCAGTTCTTTTGGAAGTTTTTCCTAATGTGAACGGTGCAAAGCATAAATGTTGTATCCCGGTAAGTGGTCTTGATAGCACCAACAAGCGATGGATCATAATCAGTTACAATAACACCGGGGACCTTGTCAACGGGTTTCCAAATGAGATCATGGAGCTCCTCTGCGACCGAAGTGTATGATTCCTTTGTCTCGTTTGAAATCCATGCACCAGCAATTGCAAATGTCTTTAGCTGCTCACTTTTGGATCCTACGTTGCTAACACCAACGACATTGACATATGGCATCTTGTACATATTTGTCTTATATGTAGCATCCATGATTACTACCTCTGAAAACCTTTGTGCATTCTTAATGCAGCTAGGATGGGCAAAAAGGAGGCTTGTAAGCTGTTTGTTGCTGTTGTATTGGTAACGGACTTGATAACCTCGTGCATGCAGGTACTGTCCCATATACGCCATATTACAACCATTGCTGTTTTCAGAGATGGCTTCACGATTCTTGATATTGGATACGTCTTTAGGAATCATTATCTGGTTGCCGTCCATGTCACGCAAAGCATCGCATATATTTGATGGTGTCGCCTTTGCTTGAATCATTTCTAGTACACGTGCGAATTGGTCTTCTGTTAACTTGCGATGCTGATGGAAGATTCGGTAATTGTCAACCATGTCGTGGTTATGCTGATCATTTATAGACCAAGCTTCCCAACATCCACTCTTCGTTGGCCTGGCCTTGATTAGGAAAGGGCACTCCTTACGCCAGGAGTCACGCTTGATCTTTCGAGTCTCTTCGGTTAGGCCATGGCAGTTTTTTGGTTGTCCACCGCAACGGCATTGTAAATGCATATGGCGTTTACTAGAGTTCTTGGTCGTGACACAGTAACCTTCAGCTTTGGCAATGATTTGAGCAGCATCATATAGCTGTTTCTTGGTATCAAAGAGACGATTGTATAGCAAGGACATGTTATTACAATAGGGAAAACAATCACTATTCCAAAATCACCTTGATGTCACAACATTTATTTAGTTTTTCAATACACGCTTTCTTTATCTAAAAAAGGATACTACGAACATGCAACTAAGGGTCATACATACAAGCATTGAATGATGCTAATGGATGTGGTGCCCGAGTGGGATCAGCATAGGCAATGTGGTGCCCAAGGGGTCACGTGCAACCCAAAATCACGTGGAATGTTGTGGTGCCCGAGAGCGGAATTGTGGTGCCCGAAGCTTTTCCCTTCCATCACGTGCCCTGAATCACGTGCACCAT